GCCAGGCTTGTTAGTGAGAGCCAACCAGGGTCCCAGGAGAGCTCCCTTAGCTCCCTCCGAGGGGAGTGCGCCAGTGGCCTAAGGCCTCCCACCAGACTCCGCCTCTTAAAGGCCCCACTGTCTCCCAACATCACCCCACTGGGAACCAAGCTCCCACACAGGAGCCTTCAGGGACCAGCCACATTCACCCCATCACGGAGATAACTGACGGATTAAAGTAAAAATGCTAGCAAGATATTTTGGGGTTATTATGTATATTGTTAAATATATACAAAGCTCTGTGGAGTTAGCACAAAGGCCAGGAGAGGAAGGAGGCATCGTGCTGTACGGTTCCCACACCGTCCATCATGCAAGAGCGACCCCTGAAGAAGAGCAGAGAGGTGCAGCTAAGGGGCCACAGGAGGTAAAATGGAACCAGAGAAATAACCCAAAGAACTCAGAGCAAGAGGGAAAAGGGACCAACAGGAAACAGGGCCCTATGAACCACCTGCTTCAGGCGCCATTGATAACTGCCTCACCCAAGGGCATCAGGACACAGGCGCCTCCCCACGGCACGTGGAAAACTTACCAAGACAACCATGTTCTGAGCTTAGGACAAGTCTCAGTGAATGTCAGAGGATCCAGTTACAGGAAGCATGTCCTCACAGTGGAATGAAATTAGAAATTGATTCCCTAAGGACAGTAGGAAAATCCCATAATCTTGTAGAAATGACATATGTCTAAGGAACACGTGGGTCAAATCAACCATCAGAAGGAAATTAGACATTAATTTTAAGTGAAGAAAAATGAATGCACAATACATCGATATTTGTAAAATGCAGGTAATGTGGTGCCTGGAGGCAAATTCATAGCCTGGATTGCTGTCTAGAAAGGGAAAATGTCTAAGGCAAGACCTAAGTCTCCACCTGGAAAAACAAGAAAAGGGAGAGCAATTGTGCCCAAAATTAGATGAAAGGAAGTAATAAAACAGAATTAGAAATAAATTAAACTGAAAAGCAGAGGGGGTCGATTTGGTGAAACCAGAAGCTTTGTCTTTGAGAAAGCAATATCATTTTATTTCCTTTTTTTTTAATTTTTTAAATTTTTGTCCTTTTAGTTATACATGACAGTAGAGTACAATTTACTTATTTATACAAACATGGAGTACATCTTATTCTAATTAGCAGCCCAGTCTTGTGGATGTACACGATGGTGAGATTCACTGTGGTGTATCCATGGATGTACACAGAGAAGTTAGGTCAGATGCACCTCACAGTCTTTCCTGTTCTTTTCCACCACCACCCCTCCTTTCATTCCACTTTGTCTAATCTACTAAACTTCTATTCTTCCCCTCCCCCCCTTGTTGTGCGTTAGCATCCACATGTCAGAGAGAACGTTGGACCTTTGGCATATACCCAAAGACTTAAAATCAGCATACTACAGTGACTCGGCCACATCAATGTTTACAGCAGCTCAACTGACTATAGCCAAGCTATGGAACCAATCTAGGTGCCCTTCAACAGATGACTGGATAAGGAAAATGTGGTATATATAACATTGAAATATTACTCAGCCATAAAGAAGAATGACATTATGGCATTTGCCAGAAAATGGATGGATCTTCAGATGATTATGCTAAGCAAAATTTTATCTCCTTTTTTCAAACAGTTGAGTTTCCACCAAATTTGGGCTGCTTTCCAGTGCCTTCAAATGGTGTGTGTGTGTGTGTGTGTGCACGCACACGTGTGGACGCCTGTGTGTTTAATCTCATCATCCAGAGTTTTCCATTGTAATCGGGGGTTGGTCTGATTCAAGCCACCCCAGCACTTGCTGTGACTGGAACCTTCCAGGCTATTTATCACAAGGTGCGCTTCCTTTCGGGCTTCTCTCCTGCGTCTTATTTGCTGTTCTCTGTTCATCTGTGAGCCAGGACTCAGGTGTCCACACTTGTGGGGAGTGTGTAAAAGCTGGGGAAATGGCTCTTGGCGGACCCCAGAATAAGGCCTGCGAATTTCCATTCAGAGGCCTCTTGTTGACACTCTGTGAAGCCGTGTGGTTTAATGAGTGGATTCCAGCTGCAGAGTCTAACAGGACCTTGGTTCAAATCTTGCCTCTGCCACTCACATCTCCTGGCTCACCTTGAAATGGGTTGATGGGAGGCTCCAGGTGGCTGTCGGGATTAAAGGACATAATCTATGGACAGTGCCTTGCACAACCCCAGCACCCAGTAGGTGCTTAGCACAAACGACCCCCTTCCTTTACACTTTCCTTCTGTTCTAGAAGGGACTGGTAAGTCCCTCCAGATGACTAAATCCAGCTGTTCTGGGGGATTAACATATACTTCAGCCCAATTTGCTTTTCAGTTTTTCTTCTGTGGAGTGCATTCCAGCACACGGGGAAGCCACCCGGGAGTCTGCAGAATTGCAAACCCTTACCCAGGACTTGGCAGCACACACCTGGCAGGAGTGCCCCAAGGGGTCAGGGGTCAAAGGGGTCCCGCCATTTTCTCTGGGTGAGTGGGTTTAAGGGCCAGGACACTCGGCTTAATATCCTTTCCATGCAGCTTTGGGAAGATGGGTGGTGGGTCCCCTGCCATGGGGTAAGTGTGGCCACCAGCAAACCCAGCCATGTCCGGCTGCCATCCGCTGACCAGCTGGGACACGCAGCCAGGGAGCCACAGACCTCCAGCTCTGCCCAGAGCTGACTCTCCTGCCCCCGTCCCTCCCCCAGGCCTCCCCTGAAAACGTCCTAGAGAGTCAAGCAGGACCCAGGACCTGCTCCTGGATGGTTTCTGTTTGGCTTAAAACTGGTGTTGGTTCTGTTGCATTGACCCCAGGACCTTGGTGTGCTCTCCAGGCTCCAGGAGCCCTTGGCCCAGTGGGACAGACGGTAAACAAAGAATTGGGGTTCAGGGGCTCTGGTAGTGATCCTATGGGGATCTGGGAGCCCAGAGGAGGGGACTCAGTTAATTTCTTACACTTAGTTCTCTTTAACCAAAGAGCCTTGAAAGCCAGCCCAGGTGACCCCTCCCCACAGCTTTGAGCTTAAATTATTTTGGGGTGGGGGGTGGGTACTGGGGATTTAACTTGGGACAGTCAACTACTGAGCCATATCCTCAGCCCTATTTTTGTATTTTATTTAGAAATAGGGTTTCACTGAGTTACTGAGCACCTCATTGCTGAGGCTGGCTTTGAACTTGTGATCCTCCCTCCTCAGCCTCCTAAACCACTGGAATTATAAGGTGTGCGCCACCGCGCCCAGCAAGGCTTAAATGATTGAGACACCATTACCCCTTGTGGTTCTGTGACTTCCCTGGGCTCTGCCTTAGGTCTTACTTAGGGTCTCATGCTGTTGACAGTCAGATTTCAGTTGGGCTTGGAGGTATCCGAAGGCCTGACCACGCAGGGTGTCCCAGATGGCTCACTCGGTCCTGGGGCATCAATGGAGAACAGCCCAGGCCATCAGAGGGACAGCTCCTGATGCCTCCGCGTGGGACTTCTCACGGCACAGCGTCTGAGTTCAGAGTAGAACACTGTCATGTTCTGCAGGTGAAACCGGTCATCCGAGGCCAGCCCAGACTCCAGGGTGTGTGTGGAATTCGATTCCACATCCTGAAGGAGCATGAAGCAGGCATGCCACAGAAGAGCAGGTGGGACTGGAGACCCTGTGTGCTATATCTGTCTACCCAGGATTCCTCCTAGAACATTCCCTGGGCCACTAGCACGCCCCACATAGGTGGCAGATGACTAGTGTCGGATCCCACGTCTCTCCTAGATGTCAGTCGTGACTCATTACTTGGGAAATGCCAGTCCCCGGACTCTGCTGGCATCAGCAGGAAGCTCGGTCACCATGTCAGGCCAGAGCACCAAGCTTTAGTTCCCAGCCCCACTTTCCATCTTAGTTCTTCTAGTCTGGAAGAGCTGTGTGCCCTTGGTACATTACTTGGCTTCTCTGAACTTCAATTTCCTCTTCTATAAAATGACGGTGAGTTACAGCTACTCTGCTGAACTTCTGGGGTCAGTGTGAAAACCTAAGAAAACACTCAAGGGGGGTAGCTTCGTAAACGGGAAAGCCCAGGGCACATAGAACCCATGTGGGGATGACAGCTCCCTCTATGAAGGTGTCTCTGTGCCAGGCACCTTCTGTGCGTTACTTCCCCAGTGTCTCCGCTCGCAGGTGGCAGCAGGAGGGCGGGGAGGGGGGACAAATTCCAAAAAAAAAAAAAAATGCGATCCAACTTCTTATTCAAGTCACTTGCCATGAGATCTGAAGCCAGGTGGGCCCCTGAGCCAGCCTCCCTGGGGGATGCTTTCTGTTGCTATGGAAACTGGAAGTTCCCGGTGAGATCCACAGATTCCAGTTTAGGGCAAGGACTCCCCGAGGTTGGTGGAATGAAGGGGGTCAGATGAGTGAAGGGTCCCTTGATGACAAACCCCGCATTGCACTCGGGGACCATGCAGACCCTGGGAAACCCAAACCTCGCGTTACTTAATTTCCTTCAGCTCAAAACCAGGCAGTTGGGGCAGAGGAAATTCAGGTTCGTTTCAGATCTCGATTCCAGGGGAGGCAGCTGGCCTCCCTCTGTTTCTATACCACCGGCCACACTTCTTCCAGGGCAGTCCCCTGTCCCCAGGCCCTGTCCTGTCTCCTCCAGGGAATTCCCCCTGTGCGGACTGCACCAGGCCCACCGGCTCCAGGCGCTGCGTGCAGGTGGCCACCCCACCCCCGGGGTGACTCCCAGGCTGCCCCCACTTCTTTCTCCCCAGGACCCCCAGCGCCTTGAGCTGCGCCAGGCCCACGGGACGCTGGGCAGTGAGGGCTTACGGGTGAATAAACAAACCCACAAATGTTCCGAGTGAAGGGTTCTGGAAAACACCCAAGCCCTGTTCCATCCAGTTCAGTGACCAGCGAGCTTTTGGCTTCAGCTGGGACTTCATTCCCGGGGCTTCCGGGGGACCCAGTCCAGGGCCCTGCAGAGGAACGCGGGGCTCTGCTGAGCTGGGGGCCGCTCCCCCCCCCCCCCCCCCCCGAGAGCGCAGCCAGGGTGCCTGGTTCTTCTGCGAGTGCTCAGCATCGGGCACTGGGACAAGTGTCGCCCAGGCTGCGGCCGAGGCCCTCAGTGTGTCCTGCATGTGCCCCAACCTCAAGGGTGACCTTGATCCTAGACCTTGGCCCCGCCTTGGCCTGCAACCAGGCACAGCACTGGGCCCAGACGCTTTGACTGCGCAGGAGGCGGGGCTCAGCCAGGCTCTGAGGCCTCTTTGTTCAGGGGCTCCCCAGGGCCCAGCTCAGCCGCCCACACAAGCATGCAGGGGCCTCCCTGACCCTGGCCCTGGAAAAGGACCTGCCTCACCACCAACCAGCAGCCAGACCTGGGCTGCCAGGCCAGGAGGCCAGGCCTCTGATGGTGCCCCCCCAGGGCACCTGCCGGATCCCACTGCAAGTCTGCAGCCCTGCCCTGCAGTCCTCGAAGGGCCTATTTTCCGGTGAAGAGATGGAGACTCCGGGAGACCACAGGCTTGCAAGGGACGGCAAACCCGAGAACTGGAAGGCCCCCAATTCCCAGGAGCTCAAATGATACGCCTGAGAAAACCACGGGGATTATGGAAGGATACTTCCGTTTGTTTTGGAAGGCAAGGCTGCACGCTGGGAACTCTGCAGGAGGTGAGCCAGAATAATGGAAAGAATGTGGGTGTTGGAGCCCCACAGTTCCCAGCTCAAATTCTGGTTCTGTCTGGTATAGCTGTGTGACCTTGGGCAGGCTGTCTGACCTCTCTGTGCCTCTTCACGTAGCAGCACCCACTTCAGCTGTGAGAGAACACAGTCCAGCCCATACCCAGAGCCTGGCCCATATCAGGTATCAACAGAGGGTACCCACTGGCTTTCTCATTGTCCTCTCCCAGATCACACCAGGGCCCTCACCTAGGGGCCCTCAGAGCTGTGACACCAGTGGGCCTCAACACACTCAGGTCAGGATCTCTCACTCTGGACTCCTGGTCCCCTCTTGGTGAAGTGGCAGGAGGTGCCCAGTCAGGCCAGGTGGTTTTGCCGTGCAGGGCTGGGGGTGGACTTCCTGGGCTGGTAGGGTGTTCAGCAACCTGCAAGTCACCTGATGCAGCTGTCCCTCCCTGCCTGCTTGTGACCCTCAACACTGTGTCCAGACATTGCCAAATGTCCCCTGAGCAGGTGAGAAGTAGCACCTACTGTGTGCCTGGTGTGCTGTGGGCTCTGTGGGCGGCAGGACCCTGCCCACCAGGCCTCATCTCCCCCTCAGGGACATCTGACCAGCCTCCACACGGAAGCGACCAAGTTTAACGGGCACGCACACACCTGTCCCACACGCCAGACCCACGGGGTCTCTGCTGGGGCATCATCTGACCCTCCACGGAGAGGCGTTTGGTCTCCCAACAGCCTTGGGGATGAGTTTTAGGGACAGAGGCCCAGAGATGGTGAATGACCTGCCTGAGGTCAGGCTGCAACTTAGAACCAAGTACCTTCCCACTGGGGCAATTGAGAGGCGCCGTTTATAATGTTAGCTACACTAGCTAGCCAAGGCCACCCTGGATCCCAGGGGACAGGCAGCCTCTGGAAGGACAGGCTCTGAGGCTATGTGTGAGTGGAAGGATCCCCACGGACCTTAAGCTCTGATTCTTATCGACTGGCGGCCTCTGAGCCTTGCCTCGCATACCTGTAAAATGGGAATAACTGCAACTAACCCAGAGCGTGCCTGTGGAGTTTTGGTGAGTTCCTGACACATAGTAGGTGCTCAGTAAATGGCAGCCATAATGCTTGTTGCTGCTGTTATCTTGAAGAATACAGGAAGCCACCCCTCTGCCAGGTGGGCTGACCCCGAAGCCTGCCAATAGCCAGGCTCCCTAGGGCTGCTGTGGGGGCTCCACGGGGAGCCCCTGTGTAGCCCCACAAGGAGCAGGGGATGTCTGAGACTTGGGGGCAACAGTGCCCCCTACTGGACAGTTTGCAGAGGCGTGGGGGTGGGGGTGCTGGCCATGGGACTCACTGAGCTGGCTGGGCCTGGCTGGCACCTCCACCAGCCAGAGTGAGAGCCTGCTGGCCAAGGAGCAGCTCCCGAGGACCGTCCCGGGGCTGGCCCCCTTCCAGGTGTCCTTTTGTGGCACCCTCCCCACATCCTCCAGGGACGGCCTTTCTCGATTCGGCTGCTGGGTTCGTTCTCCCATTTCTCCGAGACTCAGCTGTGGCATCATCCCGGGGGGAACAGGCGCGGACGACCCTGCACAGACTAGCGGGTGGTTAGCGGGCACACGCCACTGCCCGTCTGGCTGGGGGAGCACAGGTGGCCCTTTGTTGCAGGTGACCCTCGGCCTCCGCGGCAACCTGCCTTCCCGGGGCGTGCAGAGGGGTCGGTGGTGTGAGCGGCTGCTCAGCTAATGCCCCGCCCCGGAAGTGGAGAAGCCTCCTCTCTGTCTGTCTCTCCAAGTTGCCAGAACCTTCTTCTCAGCCAGTACTTAGTAAGCTTGCCAGGGAGCAGAGGGCAGCCCCGTGCCAGAGCAGCCTGGAGAAGCCAGCTCTCAGGCGGGATCCCTGGGCTCATGGGAGGAGAGTCCCCTGGCACTTCTGCAGCAGGTGGGGGCAGAACCCCCTCCGGTGTGGGAGTGGCCAGCCGGGGGCTACCCGAATCCTCGTGCTTTTTAGTGACAAGCAACGTCCTTGCGCCAGGAGCTGGATTTTCCTCACCGGGAAGGGATAAAAATGCTGTAGATGGGCTTTCCCGATGCCAGTGTGTGAGGCTCATCTGTGAGATGCTGTCCTCGTCTGCTGTGAGGCCGAGGAGGTGGAGGGCAGGAGAGAGGGATCCAGGGGTCTCAGGTGACCTCTGCCCGGCCCGCGGTGTCTGCCATTGGGGCCTGTCGCTGGCATCTGGAGATCTCCCTCGGAGTCTCTCGGCACCCTCTGGCTCCCGTCTGTGCTTAATGAGAGGGGCTATCTGGTAGACCTGCGTGTAGGGCAGAGGGACAAGGGGCAGCTGGGTGACAGATTCCTACCTGTGCCTCCTGGCCATCGGCCTGTTGACAGACTGGGTTCCAGTTTCCATCAGCTGGTGACCTCAGGGGGTCCCCGTCACTGCTCTGGGCTCTGAGAGGGCGAGATAGTGGAGGCTCCAGACCCCCAGGGCCTGTGCTTGCTCCCTGCCCTCCCTTCCTGCTCCCCCGCCCACGGCCCTTGAGGGATTCCCCCGAGAGTCGGAGGAGGCCGGCTCCTGTCAAGGTGCGGCAGCGCGGTGCTCCTGGTCCACTCCTCCCTTCTCCCCTTGGGTCCTCTGTGTTGGCTTTCAGCTGGCCTCAGAGACCAAACTAAAATTGAATTCGATTTTCCCAGGGTTTTATCAGTCTTGAGCAGGTTACTTTCAGGCAGCAAGAATAATGACATAGGTTTCTCATCCTTCCTCTAAAAGAGTTCTTTTTTTTTAATAGAGTCTTCCCCCCCCCAAATTAGAGTCTTCCCCCAGAGACTAAGAACCATGCTCATTCAATCAAAAGCAGAGTGTTCTTGAACACTCCGGGGGACACTGCCCCCAGAAGACACTTGTGTTTGTCACAGCTGGGACACTGTGCTCTCCTCTAGCGAGTAGGTGACACCCTCAAGGCAGAGGACGGCCTTCCACAAATGGTTATCTGGCACCGATGCCAGTAGCTACAAACTGGTCTTAAACAGCAGACAGAGCAGAATGGCCATTACCGAGAATACAGGCACCAGTCCATGTTGGCGAGGCCGTGGGGAAGGCTCACTCGCACACGGCTGGTGGGACTGCAGCCACTCTGGAAAGAGGAAGGGAGATTCCTCAGAAATCTGGGAATGGAACCACCATTCAACCCAGTTATCCCTGTACCCAAGGGACTTAAAATCAGTATATTACAGTGACACAGCCACATGGATGTTTATAGCAGCTCAACTCACAGTAGCTAAGCTATGGAACCAACCCAGGTGCCCTTTGACAGACGAATGGATAAAGAAAATGTGGTACATATACACAATGGAGTATCACCCCGCCTTAAAGAAGAATGAGATTATGGCATTTGCTGGTAAATGGATGGAGGGGAGAATATCAGGCTAAGTGAAATAAGTCAATTCCAGAAAAACTAAAGGCCGGATGTTCTCTCTGATATGCGGATGCTCACACACAAGGGCTGAGAGGGAAGTGCAGAAGTTCACTGGATTAGACAAGAGGAATGAAGGGAAGGGAGAGGGAATGTTCTGGAATAGGTAGGACAATGGAATGAATCAGACAGAACTTTCCCATGTTCATATATGAATACACGACCAGTGAAACCCCACATCATGCACAACCACAAGGACGGGATCCTATTAGAATAAGCCATACTCCATGTGTGCGTAATACGTCAAAATGCACTCCACTGCCGTCGTACCTGAGAAGAACAAATTAAGAAAAATAGACAGGGCTGTGAGCATCTCCCCTGCAGGAGAGACAAGCACCCAGGCTTCAAACTGACCTTTTGCTAGAACAATCTGTGAGGAAAAAGTTTTAGGTGTATGGAGCCCAGGAAAAGGATCGGTGATGTGAGCCCTTTGTCTGTTAAACTGAATAATAGCTTTCAAATTCCAGAAGAATGTAACAGTCACAGAGGCAACACATTTTTTTATATCTATTTTTTGGTGTAGTTGGACACAACACAATGCATTTTATTTTTATGTGGTGCTGAGGATCAAACCCAGGTCCCGCCCGTGATAGGGGAGCGCTCCACCGCTGAGCCGCAATCACAGCCCCTGCAACACATTTTTAAACTTAGTTTTCTGGGAAAAATTGTGGAAGATTTTGAAATAGATAAAAGATTGCCAGAGATTCTACTAACAGAACCCCCCAATATCTTGCCTGGGTGTGTGTGCCCCTGACTTTGTATTTAATGTTTCTGCAAAGATGTCCACTCATGGAAAATGGGAGGTGATGCAATACTTGATGTCCCTGGTGATGCAAACCGTGCCCATCCAGTACCATGCAAATGAGTTTTGTCAGATAGAAAAGATAAACCTCTACAAGACAAATCCTCATTCGACCCCTTCAAGGGGATGTCAAACTCATTATAATTAATGCTATGATTAATGTTTCCAACTCATCATAATTAATGTTAGAGGAAACATTTGACTTGCATTCCCTTTATCTCTGCATAAGAGTTGTGGTTTTTTTCCTTCTTTTGTCTTTTTTTGAAAATTATCCTCTAACAATCTTCATTATTAACATTTTCTCCCTCGTTTCCTTAGGTCTCGACAATATCAACAACATGATAAACCAAGTTCTCATCTGTAGCATCTGCCAAAGTGCATAAGAGAAAAACTCTGAGAGATCCTGATTTAATTCAAGGGCTGGAGGAGGAGGTGGGGAGATGAGGACAGCTCCCGCATCCTGAACGTGACCCGAGGCTGGACGCAAATCCCAGGCGCTGAGTCCCCCCAGAGCTGAGGCCCCCCGGCACTGAGTCCCCCCAATACCGAGTCCCCCCAGCACCACGGCGTCCTGCTTACAGCACCAAGCAACCCAGAGGCGGCAAGAACGTCTTCTGGCCCTGCTCCTGTCCTGTGGGTCTCCGGCTCCACCTGCTCTGCCCTCTTCCTGGTTCTGTGTGCACGACTTACACGTTCCTGACCCACGTTTCCCTGGAAGGATGCTCCTGACTTATGGGCTGATTTCCAGCTACAATCTAGTCCTGCCGCTGCTAGTCTGGGGGACCGTCCCTTTTCTGACTGTCAGATGAGACCCTTCCTGTATGGGAAGGGCCCAGACTGGGCCACACACTCTCTACTCACCATCAGGCCTGGGCCTTCCCTTCTCCTGTGCTCCTGCCCCTCATGTCCACACCCAGGACCAGGCTAAGGAAGGGCCAGGAGAAGCGGCTGTTGTGGGGTGCTATGGTTTGATGTGGTCTGTTCTCACCGACTCATGGGCTCAGTTGCCCAATGTAACGCATTAAGAGCTCATAGAACCTTGAAGAGGAGGGGCCGAGTGAGACACAATTAGGTCACTGGGATCCATGCCCATTTTGGGTGTTCAGATTAGGGCTCCAGGAACTAGTTCAGTTCTCACCACTCTTCTGCTGTGTAGTACCATCTGCCATGTTATGATGCAGCACAAGGCCCTTGTCACATGTGGCCATACCATCTTAGAATTTTCACCTCCGGAACTCTGAGCTAAATAAAACTCTTCTCTTTATAAGCCTCGAATGTTTTGTTATAGTAACACAAAGTGGTGGGTATTTAATGATACCCATTAAGTGATCCTTGGGGGACCCTTGGTGTTTGGGAATTTTGCGAGCTCAGAGCATTTTAAAAGGGAAAACAGTCTCTGGGTCAAATATGCAGTTCCTTGGAGCCCAGAAGGTACAAATTGATTGTTTCCATCCCCTTCAGACAAATTTCTGTATCTGTGGGAAGCCCTAAATGAAGGAGCTGCCTTACATTTCAGAGTGACAGGGTAGGAGAGAAATGCATCTCTGCAAGCCCTAGGGAGGCCTGCAGCCAGTGTTCCCTTTGGTGGGTATCTGGGCCTGAGATGGCGGAGGGGGCACAGGCTCACTAGGTGAAGGGGAGGAGCTACCTCACACCACTCACAGGGGACCCTTCTCTGTGGAAGAATTTGCAAGTTAAATGCATTTAAGTTCACACAGAAGGCAAACAGTGTCCTCTCACAGACAGCAACTGGTCACTGTTAGGAGAACTTTTGAAACCATCACAGTGACACTTTATATATATATATTCATGTGAGGAAGCAAAGTGTGTGTGTGTGTGTGTGTGTATGTGCGCGCGCGCATGCGGGTGTGCTCTGCCTCCTTAGGAATTCTTTGTGACCTCAAATGCCACGTGCACTGTGCACTCCGCATTTTGGGGAGCCAAACACAGGACACCCACTTCCATTGGAATTTCAGATAAACAATGAATACTTCTGGGCAAAAGTACTTTCCATACGATATTTGGGACTATTTCTATGCTTTTTTGTCTAAATTCAAATTTAACTGGACATCCTATTTTTTTATTCTGATTTGTTATACATGATGGCAGAATGCAATTCATTTCATAACACACATGTAGAGCACAATTTTTGAAGTCACTGATTATACACAAAGTATTTTCACACCATTCAAGTCTTCATACATGAACTTAAGGTGATGATGTCCATCTCATTCCACCGTCATTCCTACCCCCGGCCCCCTCCCTGGCCCTCCCTCCCCTTTGCCCTATCTAGAGTTTCTCCATTCCTCCCAGGCTCCCCTCACCATCGCCATTATGGGTCAGCAGACATCCTATATTTTGATTGGCTGACCCGGGAACTGTGTGTACACACAAGCACATGTGTTTGTGCACGTGTCTCCATAAATCCATACTCACATATCTACAGTTTTCCTCTGGTGCCCCAGGAGGGTTGTTTCTAAACCCCCCCCTCCCCAGGTACCAAACCCCACAGATGCTCAGGTCTTTTACATAAAATGACACAATATTTGCATATCACCTATGCACACCTGCCATCTGCTTTAAATTCTATCTAGAGTCCCTGTAATAACGAGTACCATGTAAATGCCATGTAAATAGTTGTTCTACTGAACTGTTCATGGAATAATGGCATGAAAAAGAGTCCATACGTGTGCAACGCAACCCTCGTGGGCCTGACTACATATTTTTCCAAATATTTTTGATCTGTGGCTGAATCCACAGATGTGCAACCCACAGAACCCAAAGAGAATCACCTGCATGTGCAAACTTGGGCATGTGTCCACGTATGTTGGGGGCCCGGGGGTCAGAAGCAAACACAACCATGCACCAGACATTCCATCCTCCTCTGGGACCCAGCACAGTGGGTCCCCAAGGTGCCCGAGTGGCGCTCACAGCCCAGGGTCTGCGCTTGCTTCCTGAGTCTGGTTCCTCCCAGACTTCCTCAGGGCCCTGCTGTGGCTGGACGGTCATTACTCTTTCTTGAAGTTCCTGTGGATTTAACAGCTCGGGGCCTGGTTTTGGAGCGGGCCCTGCCTTTCCCTAATGGCGTCTCCGTTACCTTCTGGCCTGTGGGCTGCTGGCTGGTGGGGTTCTGGGGAGCAGGCCTCTTCCCAGGGCTCCCCAGCTGCTCGTAGCCCAGTTTACAGCCCGGGGCAGCGCCTACAGCCCTGCAGCCTGGATGCTCGGAGGTTTTTATTGGCAGCTCCATCAAGACGAGGGCCATGGGGGTCCTTGGGGCCTTCCGGAGCCACTTTATAGGGACTGGCCTTCCAGGCGCGGCGGGAACAGCCATTTCCAAGGGAATCTGGTTTCTCTGCTGGGCCTGCTCGCTGCCTCTGTGTTTGGCTTGGCAGCCCCGCGGCCTGGCCTGTTTGATCCTCACCTCGTGTCTGGGCGTTTGTGGCCTGTCAGTGGATGAGGTGGCGCAGGGTAGCCATTTCCCTGCAGCCGCAGGGACACAGACGGAGCTTTGTGTCAGGCCGAGAGCAGGTGGAATGGAAAGAGTTCAGGCCCCTCCAGGGCTCAGGGGAAACGCTCTGGAGTTTGAAGACGTTAAAATGCAAATAAAAACCACCCCAAGTCATCTACACCTTGGGAACCCAAGCTGGCTTGCGAGGGCTGAATGGCTGGGTCTCCATTAACGCCACCTCCCTTGGGATCCAGAAGAGGGCAGAGGCAGGAGGGGCTGGTGTTCTGCAAGGAGATTCAAATTTTAGAACCCCAGTGGGAGTGGGGTTCACGTCAGCTCTGAGCAGCCGATGGCCAGGGTGTCCTTGGCGGTGGAGGCAAGGAGAGACCTGCGTGGGGAGACGGTGCCTGACCCTCCTAGCCACAGAGGTCACTCTTTCTCCATTGGGTTGGTCCCCCAAATAAAATGACTAGCCCACCTATTTTAAATAAAAGACAAGGTTAGTGCTATGAACCATTGTGTCCCCCAATTCACATACTGAAGTCTCGACCCCAAACCTTGGAATATGGCTGTGTCGAGAGACGGTCTTCCAAGGTGTGATTAAGTTAAAAATGAGGTCATTAGGATGGCCCTAATGTACTACGGCAGGGTCCTTGTCCAAGGCCATGTGGACACAGGCAGGCACAGGGGAAGGCCTTGTGAAGACCCCAGGTGAAGACGCAGTCTCCAAGCCAGGAGAAAGGTCCGAGAAACCAGCCCTTGAGCTCAGGTCTCATTAAGGACATTACAGAGGGTACCAAGGGACAGCCAGTCAAAAGGATGTGCAGGGAGGTGGGGGAAGGGGTGTGGAGCTTCTGCACCCTCAGTGGGTGGGCCACCCTGCAGGACCTCCAGGTGTTCAGCTGTCCCGAAGCTCACCCGACTTTGGGGTGCAAGGGGCTCCATTGCACAGGCACAATCTGATGGCATCATCGACCACTGGTGATCAACTCAGCCTCCAGCCCCTCTCCCCTCGCCAGAGGTGGGGATTTGGGCTAAGTGCCCAGCCCTCTAATCCTGCCTAGGTCTTTCTGGTGACCAGCCCCCACCGTGAAGCTATCTAGTGGCCCCAGACAACAGTCATCTCACTAGCATCCAAATATGCTCGCAGCCTCCAGAGACCTCAGGGGTTGAAAGAGGTGTGTGACAGGAACGAATTACAGAGACCAAAGGGCAATTTTTTTTGGGGGATGGGTACCGGGGATTGAACTCAGAGGAACTCAACCCCTGAGCCACATCCCCAGCCCTATTTTTGCATTTCATTTTGAGACAGGATCTCACTGAGTTGCTTAGCACCTTGCCGATGCTGAGGCTGGCTTTGAACTTGAGATCCTCCTGCCTCCGTCTCCCAAGCCAAGCGAGCTGCTGGGAATTACAGGCATGTGTCACCACACCCCAGTGTTATTGTGTCACATCCTCATTAACCATTGGATCTGTTGACAGATCATTTCTCTAGAACTCCCCCTGTGCTCCCTGCTTGGACAGTAGTCTCTTTCATGCTGCCTCTGGGCCACCTTCACCTCACCCTCACTAGCTCTACCTGACCCCTGGTGTCTGCACTGGGGCTGTGAAGCTGTCCCAAGACTGGCTCCCCACTCCCTTCCCTCCTTCCCCTCCCTCCCTCCCTCCTAGCCACCTGCTCCTGCCAAGCTGCATGAGGAATGTGAGTGTCGCCCTTGAGGAGTTTGGGGTCTGAAGGTGAGAGCCAGCGGAGACCCATTTCCTTTGCAAACACACACATCTCAGCCAATCCTCTGTGCCCTCTGAATTTAAAGCCACAGGGTCCTTCCAGTGCCACTGGTCACCAGTGGTGCAGGGAGCCGGTGGAGCAGCATTCTGGCTTTCTTCCTTCAGTCAAAGCGAGGGCGTACAGATGTCCCAGGCACCTGATGTCCTGCCCAGAGCAGAAACCTAGACAGTGCTCCCTTGCTCCCTCCTCCCCATCCCTCTCCCTCCCGCCTCTCCAGGCAACTGCCTGCACCCAAACCCTTGCCTCCGGCTCTGCTGTGGGAGAATCCAAATTAAGAGCCTGATTCGTGCCCGGTGCTGGGGTGTGACAGGTGTGTGGCACAATCTGACTGCCTCTGCTTTGTCGGGGTTGGAGGGAAGAGTTAGGAAGCCCAGCTGTGATCACATGTTCTTTAATCCAGAAATTTCAGGTAAAAAAATAAAAATAAAAGAAAATCTCCATCTGCTTGATTGCTGGATCTACTTCTCAACTGTTTCTAAACACAGAAGAGGTGTGACTAATTAGGATTTCCTCAAACTCCAGTGTTTATACAAATGTATGCAGGACTATCTGGGTACTTGGCTATTTTGAATCAATTTTATTCAGTTATATTTTATGTATAGTAATGCACAGTTTGACGCATGTTGACAGATTATATACCTGAGTGACAACCACCTTGACCAACATAGAAAACAAGCTCCAAAAAGTTCCTCCGCACCTGCCTGCCCTGGGCTCTTAGAGGCGTGAGGCTTGTGGCTTTGATTTCTTACAGGGGTCACAGCTGGGACTTTGCCTCGAGTCTCAGGAAAGACTTGACTTGGAGTGGGAGCAATGTTGGAGCAGTGGACCGGGGAACTGCTGGAGACGGACTGGGTGAGTTCTGCATTGTGAGATGGACAGCAGCCTCTGGGGCCAGGGTGGAGAGCTGTAGTTTAGATCTTAAGAGTTCCTCACAGGCCCTGGTGTTGAAGACTTCTGCTCCAGGGTGGGATCACTAGGGGTGCTGGAAACGTTAAGAGATGGGGTGTGGGGGAGGGGATGGAGGGGGGAT